AATAACTCTACTGGATTGAGCACTGGAAAAAAAAAATTTAATCTAGATGAGCCATTTTTTTCCTTAACCCTGTAATGCCAAATGTATCATATTTGATACATACGGTTTCTGAAATGTTTTGCGTCTGACACCTTTTGCATAATTTAATGGTAAAAACTTTGCTCAAAATCCTATTGTACACAATCAGATATACCTGATAACAGAGGGCAGAAGACTACACAGAAAATAATCTTGACTTATCGCATAGTAATAAATTATTAATAACAAAAATGTATTTCTGTTTTTTCTTTTTGCATATTTTGTTCAAAGGCCAAATAAGGACTTCAAACAAAAAAAAAAAAGTAATTTTCTGTTTTGTTTTATTCTTGGATCGGGCTTTAAAGGGTTAAAATAAGTGCTTTTTTGGTATGAGGATGCAAAAGAGACAATTGCCAATGGAATAAGACAATTTACATTTAAAATCAGAAAACATAATTGCCTTATCTTATTTTATTTTTTTTATATTTTATTTCAAGAGTAAAATCCTCCATTGGGAAACTATCTCATTTACCTGCTCAAATTAAGTGTAAATACACGTAATTTAATACATTTTTACTTATTTCTAGATCATTTTTCCAGTGAAATTCTGATTTTCAAAGTATTTCCTCTGAGTGCCCTATAAAGGGTTAATAGTTCACAGGATATGAAGAAAAAGAAATTTCTGCTGTGGAGAATAGAAAATATTTCCATAGCAATATAGATATCTCACAAAGTTAATGGTGTAGTTGAGCCATAAACTCTACAGGCTCATTAAACCTGTAGAGCAATCCTCAGAATCTTTCTCTCTGCTCAACGGAAATAACTTCTGAGCAAAGGCATTCTGTGAATGAGGTGACACAACTTTTTCACCACTAAACTGAAAGAAGAGAATGCGTTTCAGAGAAAAGTCAGCAATAAGGAGAAAGTAGGTATTGAGGAAGCCTCCTCTAGACGTTTTAGCGATTTAAGATATCTCTAATTATATTTTGACTAGTCAAAATACCTATTCGAGATATCTCTAATTACATTCTGACTAGTCGAAATGACCTCAGATTTACCATAAACTTGTATAGAAATGTCAATTTTAGATATATCGAGAATAAATCACTGACTATCTGAACCGAATTTATGTTAAAAAGGCTTGCCATACACTACTGTCACCTACCGGTTGGTGACGTCACGGTGCGGTATCGGCTATTGATTAAGTCCCAGTGCTGTATCTGGTGTTTGTCACAACGCGCTATTATCCAAGTCATCTTGAAAACATTCTTACTCAAAATGCTGAATAAGATGTGTCTAGTAGTTCCCATTGATTTTGCTTATAAAGCGGAGAGAATGGCGCTAGGCTTACCGCACCGTGACGTCACTGCCGGAAGTTGTCAGGAGTGAGGTGTTACTGTAACCTGCGAATTGAGACGCAGCCTGTATTTGGGCAAAAATGGACGCTCCTGGACTCAGAGATCACGATGAAAGTTATTGTTTTTATATTTTAACTCATTAACAATAAATTCATTAAATCACTGCAAACGTATTAGTTTTAGGCATAGATAAGATCCATTATTTGCTGACCAGACTTTTCCTTTCAGGCCTATTCAAGTAGTCACTCAACAGACAGATATCTAGTACCTAACACGTAACAATAGGGTAGGAATTATTATTTCAAATTTCTAAGGTGATATTACCACCAAAATATGTTAGCAAGGTTAAAGATAACAGGAGGGTTAAATCAAAATACATTTTCTCAGTCTAATGTAAGAAAAGGCTACTGCTGTAAATTAATCTTAACATCAAATTAGTTGTAATCTAGTTTAATCTTAATGACCTTAAAAGATTGTATTCTCAGTAACTCAGTATGGTCGATACTCCAACTGAAGTTATTAAAAATGTTCCTCTGGATGTAAAATAAATGTATTTTTGGGTTTATTTGTTGACTTTTTATTCATTTCAATTTAGAGTTCTGAGCAAACATAAGGAAAATCTCAAAAAGGAAGTTCATATATGTTCCACTTTCCATCGAACCATGCTATTTCAATAAGTTTCATTTCTCTCAGAAATGTCATTTTTTCATTTCCAACTGGAAAGTCCCTGTACACCATAATATAGGCTATTTGGCTGCTCAGTTGCCTTTGCTGTTATTAGCAGTCAGCAATTTTTACAAACATTATTTCTTTTTATTATCAGATATCTGACCTTGAGAAGAATAAAAACGTCTCAGGTTTCAGCTTTGCATTTATCTTAGACAACAACTGAAATAGGGTAGCCTTTATCCACCTTGATTTAGTTCCCTTTACACCAAAGAGTTCATGTGCTCATAGTGCCATAATTTACAGAAGTGAAATTACTAAATAGTTTCTAAGGAATTATGTGGTAAAACATTTTTTTCCCAATAGTTTTCATGTAGCACTGCTGCCTTGCAGCAAGAAGGTTCCGGGTCCGATTCCTGACCCAGGCGTCTTTCTGCATGGAGTTTGCATGTTCTCCCTGAGCATGCGTGGGTTCTCCCCGGGTACTCCGGCTTCCTCCCAGAGTCCAAACACATGATTGTTAGGTTAATTGACTTCTCTAAATTCTCCTTAGGTGTGAGTGTGTGCATGAATGGTTGTTTGTCTCTGTGTTGCCCTGCGATGGACAGGCGACCTGTCCAGGGTGGACCCCGCCTCTCGCCCAATGACAGCTGGAGATAGGCACCAGCACCCCTCACGACCCCAATTGGGACTAAGCATGTTTGAAAATGGATGGATGGATAGTTTTCATGTATTACAGAAAACAGCAAGTTGGTTTCTCAACCATTAAGATTACATTCTTTGTCGCTTCATTTAATATTACACTTTTAACTCACTATCTTCCCCGACTGTGTATTATCCTCAGTTTTTTTTCTAAAAAAAAAAGTTACAAGTTAAAATCATTTATAAAAAAAGAGAAACCAGATACTGAACTAACCCAACATAGCACAAGGTGAAAAAAAACAGAAATACATATATAGATATATATTCAAGGTAATTTTATTGAATTGTTTTTGATGGACAAAAAAACCCCAAACATTTACGTTAAAATGTGCTCGGAAGTTATTTTAAAGTTGGTGCATAACATGTTTAACTGATCTGTAACATTAAAAGCTGGAGCTAGCAACTGCTAACAGAGCTTAGCTAAAAAAAACATGGTCATCAACAAGAAAGAAAGGAGAGAGAAAAAATCAATAATAATAATAATAAGTAAACTAGATGAGAAGGATTGTAACTTTAAATGCTGGTGACAGAGGAAAGACTTTCTCCAGATCCAGTGATGCTAAACTTAATGAATGAATTAAACTTTATTGATCTCCACTGGAGAAATCCACTCTCTGCATTTAAGCCATCCACCATTACGTGGTGCCAGGGGCAGTGTGGGATTCTCACTCAGGGACCCAGAGTGGCAGTCTGTGGGAGTGGAGCTTAAACTCAGAACCTATGGATTCCAAGCGCAATTGCCTAACTACTAAGCCATCACTCATTGGCCCCCACCCCCGGCTTGCAGTGCCAAGCAATGCCAGATGCACTCCAAACACACATTTTTTTTTAATCAAACCAATCGTACAATGTTCTATTTCAAAATTAGAGTAATGAAGGTAACAGCTTCAGAGGATCGGAACTTTGTATTGTAGCAGAAAAATCTGGAACACTTGATGCTTAAAAAAAAAAGAAACTCAATGAACATCTTCAGAGGCCCCTTTAGTTTCGGGTGCCCAGCTCTGGATGGAGACGTCTGAACGAGGATTGGTGAGGTAACCATAGATGGTAGACCAAGCAAGATCAACATTGAAGCACCTCATCGGCTAACTGGTCCAAACCATAACAGGCTTATCAATTAGGTGATACAGAAATGTCAATAAATGCTTTTTGGCAGTACTAATACATCAAATGTAAATCCTAGCTTTTTGTAATACTCTGACCATTTTATCATAAGTTTTATTTTTAAATATAAATCACAGAATAAAAAAAAACACATGGTAAACAAAGAAATATGTATCATGTTCTGATAATCAAAGAGAAAAATAAAATCTCCATTAAAAACACAAGAATGGTAGAACAGGGGTTGTGCAAATAATCCCTGATTATTTTCAGAAACTGGCCGTAAACTGCTGCTGGTCTTAAAGGTTACTAAGATAAATGTCAAACATACAGGGAATGTATTTGAAGCACTTTGCTGCCAAACAGATCTTGGAGTCAACAAGGAGTTTTTACATACTTTTACTAATTTGTTAACTAGATTTATATCGCTAATATATGGTATGTTAAAATTTGGCCAAAAATCAGACTGGCAATTTTTTTTCAGCCAAATTGTAATAATCACAAGCATGCAGATGTTCAATTTTTTTTTATGACCTTCAAAGCCTGCTTGTCCAGGGACCATGGCAGCAGAACTTCAATGTTGCGTGGACACATATTTCTATTTGCACTAGAGGTTGGCGGATTGACAATATCGCTACCAATGCTGGTATTGGTATCAAGCACAAATACACTTAACAACAGTTCCCTTTAAGTTCACTTTTTGCATTGTGCTAGCTATATAAGCAAAAAGGGATTTCTTCTTATAGCCTGTACAAATTCTTACTCATATGGGGTCATGGGAAATAAGAAGAGGCTTAAATCAGGGGTAGCCAGGCTTCATTTCTGGAAAATGCTCCTACACCTATCAAGAGGTTCTTAGAAAAAACTGAGCCATTGCACAAAATGAACATGGTGAAAAAGTTGGTCTAATAACTCATGTTTCATGACTCTGTGTACAGAATCCAAAGGAATCTCCTCAGACTTTGAAGCTCTGCTTTTATTACATAAAAACAGTAAGAAGAAGGAATATCTGTTAAAATCTGAATATTGCACTTGATAAGCTATGCACAGCAGCCATGTTTAGAACTGCAGCTGCTAAGAGAGAGCTGGCTTCAGGGAACATCCTCATTACAAATGCTTGACCCTTTTGCACATAATTGGATTTTCCATATTTCCAAATATAAAAAAAAAATTTATTCCACACTGGAAAGACTTACTAGATTATATGAAAAAAAAAATCCTAATCTGGATGCTGCTGGTAAGGTAGAACAGCTGCATGTGTCCAAAGGGTCTCAGAGAAACAGTCCGCAAAAATATTTCAGCCCTGCAGGGTTTTTCTAGTGCAAAGTTATCCTTGTAAACTTCCCCTGCAAATAAGTAGCTGCTGTGAACTGGTCTGGAAGAATTGTTGACTCCCCTATAAACAAATGTTATTGTAAAATCTGACCTCTTAATCTGCAGTTTCCTGAGAAATATGCAAACAATAAAAAAATGTAAAAGCTCCCAAACATGTGTTTACAGTTGATTGTGATAACACTTGTTTGTGAATTTCAACAATTTTCCTCTATTACTTAATACAGCCTAGAAAGCTATTTTATTCACACCGTGTACCAATACAGGGACACAGTTCTTCTTAGGACGTGTGAGCTGAAAGCGGAGATGTGGCAACAGTTTGGTTTGTTGGTTTATGCATCTTTCACCAGAGTGACTTTACAGTTCTCTTCTTCCTCTGCTTCAATGAACAACTTGCGAAAAGAGCTCTGAGGGAAGGAAGAGATACCAAAATAAGAAAGTGTTAGTCCAATTGACAAAATCCTTCTATAAATCGCTAAAAGCAGATATATATAGTTATACAAAAACCCTGAATAAAACTTACATGCAAAAAAAAAAAATAAATCTTAACAGAAAAAAATCTGAGAGTAAAGCTAGATTTAATAACATCCTCCCACCTTAATCTAATGTGATTATGTTTTTATTTTTTTTTACCTGACTATTGTTGGATATATCGCTGAGGTAGTCTCGAGGTGCTGGCACCTTGGGGAAAATTGTTTCTTTTTTCCTGCGCAGAAACAACTTAGCTTCAGTAAAAACAAAATGCCTGAACATGTAATGCAGGCATTACAGAGTATTGTATATGAAAGACCAACATTTACATTGAAGACTAAAAAAGGGTGGTGTGCATTTTTATTCTGTAAGCTGCGTGCCATTTAATCTTAGCATGTGTGCTGTTAAGTTGCTGTTTTATAAACGCCTGGATGTAAACAAGCGATCTCTACACACACACACACACACACAAAAATATGTCAAACAGATCTGGATCCTATTTTGTGCTTCCAAGTCAAGGAATTTTCTCTTGAACTTCCTCTAAGCTTTTTAGCTAAAAGGGAACTTCAGAACAACCTGGAGTCATTTTGTTTTTCACAACTTACAATGCCTCCCTGCTGTTCCTCTCCTTATGCATCCTCAAATTGAGAACCAGTTGGCTGTTACAGTGCATTATGCAGAGATGGGGGATGTGGAGTCAAAAAGTCATCTCCATGCCATGTATTTTTTCCTCCACAGTGAATTAAATTGTGGACTTATTGGTTCAGAGGCTGGGCAGAACAAAAATATTGCATGGAGGTGACTTGATGAGTCCACATTCCCAATCTTTTGCATCATATATATGATCTTTCATTGTGGTATGAGTGATATGCAACTGGCAATTAAAGAAATCCTAAAACTATCTTTCCTTAAAAAGGCATTTACACATATGGACACAATTGTTAGTACCTGTCTTTTAAAGAGAGAAAATTGTACCATGTTCACATGAACAGCCTTGATCTGAACTTTCTAACAATGCTTCAACAGGGTGATTTTAAACTCATGATAAGGGCCAGGGACAAAAATGATGATACTCCTATCAAAATAATGTGACCAAAGGTACATGTACTGTTGACAGAGAGTCACTGTCTTGTTATATGACATGGTGTGTACCACACTCAACATGGACAAGAAAAGAGTTGTCTTAGACGATGTTCCTGTGACTATAGCTGCACGTATTATTCAGAAATCTAAGGTCCATGGGACTAAAGCTAACATCTCTTGTTGTGGCCCAGAAAAAACTTAAAATTTTACTTTAAGCTCAGTCAGTGTCAGATTGCACCATCCATTGATGTTTGAGCCCCAGTGTACTTAAAGAGGACCAAAGAGGAAACCATTGTTGAGAACAAATCATAACAAAGTTGGACTTTGCCAAACTACACGTTGAGAAGACACCAAGCTTCTGAGAGAAGGTCCTATGGACAATGAGATATAAATGTAACCTTTTGCAATGTACAACAGCTCTATATTGACAGATGGAAAATTTGAGCATATCAAGGAAAGAACACTGTCCCCTCTGCGAAATATAGAGGAGGCTCCATTATGTTCTAGGGCAGGGATGTCAAACTGGTTCCAGAAAGGGCTGTGTGGCTGCAGGTTTTCTTTCCAACCAAGCAATGGCACACCAGACTCCATTCATCTCATCAAGTGAGTCCAGTCTTAACATGATGACTTGATGAGATGAATGGAGTCTGGTGTGCCATTGCTTGGTTGGAAAGAAAACCTGCAACCACACGGCCCTTTCTGGAACCAGTTTGACACCTGTGTTCTAGGGTGTCTGGAATCTCCACAGGGTTCAGGGAAATCTCAAGACTGTCGGGGGATTCTAGACAGAAAAGTGCTTCCCTCTGTAAGAAAGCTTGTCCTAAGTTGCAGGTCATGGGTTTTTCAACAGAATAAACACCCAAAACACAGCTAAAACACTTAAGAAAAATTAAGAGAAAAACATTGGATTGTTCTGAAGTGGCTTTCTATAAAGTCCTGACCTAGTAAATCCTACTGAGGATCTTTGGAAAGACATGAAACATGTCATCTGGAATAGGCGCTCTTCAAACCTGCGACAGCTGGAGTAGTTTGCTAATGAGGAGTGGGCCAAAATACCTGCCTGGCCAGCCAGACTGAATCACACCGAGCATTATTCAGTCTGGCAAACCAAACAGTGTCACTCTCAGGGCCTTTCTGGTTTTATGCTAGTGCAACATCATGATGCCGACATCAACAGAGCAATGTTGAAATAATGCCATTTCTGATGTCCTAAGTGAGATTGAGGTAACCTTAAATCCTTAACAACTAACACATTCAGTGTTATATACTTGACATATTTCGCTGAATACAAAATGTCACTCGTGGTCTTTCCATCACATCCGCTGTTATCTGATCGGTTCTAATGTGATGATGCCAACCCTGTTAGCCCTGCCTTTACCTGACATACATCCTGTGTATGTTTTATCAGTCTGGCTGGCCAGGCTAGTCAGAATGGGAGGCATTTTTTTAGTTATCAGCCCTTATCAGGCTACTATCAACAACTATCAACCTTTGTTTATAGATGTTGGAGATCGGCCTGTTTTCCAGTGTAGTCCTGTTTCTCTGACTGTGACTGGCTGGATGTGCTCTCTTCATTATGACATGGGAGCTGACTCTTAGCTGGTCTGCCTGGCTGTGTGTTTCCTGGACGGGGCCGCCTTTTACAGCTGCTTTTTGTATCTCTGCTTCTGTCTCCTTGAACCCCAGCCGGCCTAGGCAGATGGCCGCTCACACAGAGTCTGGTTGTACTGGAGGTGTCTTCCTGTTAAAGGAGAGGTTTTCCTCTCCACTGTCACTACAAGCATACTTAGTGTGAGGGATTGCCTTCGAGTCAATGAGTCGATGCGATCAACTGGTTTTCCTTATATAGAAAACTTTGAATCAATATGACTGTAGGATCTGGTGAACTGTAAAGTGTCTTGAGATGACATGTGTTGTGAATTGGTGCTATATAAGTAAACTGAATTGAAGTTATTTCAGTGACCATTGTGTTTTTTATTAAACGAGGGGTATCAACAATTCTGTCCACGTGTGTATGTTTCAGTGGTAGTAGAGAGCTTAACCCCCCCCCGTGAATGTCGTAAAATTATTAGTAAATTATGCATTGTCGTAAATGTAGTAATTGGTTGCGCATTAATCAGTTGTGGAGCCAGCTCTCGAACGCTAAGTCCTCTATGCTCTGGAGCAGCAGAACGCTGCCTCCCAGCCCCAATGAGAAAACCCTGTTGAGGTTTGAGCCTTGGTCTGTTGGAAGTAAGACGCGAGAAAGTAGAAACCTGATTGGGTAACGTGCCAAAAATATTTCACTTCCATTAGGACTTAACTTTTTAAGGGGTCTGTGGAGAAGGGGCGGGTCATGAAGCTGGCTACTCGACGATGATTGGGAAACTTACAGAAGGATTTTTGACTGACAGCAAGGAGGTTTGCTTCCCGATCATTCAGTCAGAACAGTCATCTTGTGCTGAACTCTTGCCATGGTTTATGGAATTTGTTATTTCAGAACGCTTCACAACAGCTATTTTCCCCAGTTGTAGTAATGTGTTTCTGCATTTGTCAATGCAATACGGGACTTTTGGATTTAATTAACTACATTGAGCCTCCTCTGTTTCAGAGAGCAGCAGCCGCCACTGGTATGTTTCAGATGAGATGTTGCCAGTGTGTCTTGAGGTTTTCATATCTGGCCTAGAGAGTCTAGATCCATATCCCTACCCACCTAACCACATCCAGATTGTGTCTCATTGGATTGGGAGGGACACCTGTTAGTCAAACCTGAAAATTCACTGCTAAGTTTGAGGAACTTTGACAATAAGATTATGTAAATATGTTTAGATCTAGGAGTCAAAAGTTTATAAAATGTATCTCACCTCAAAAATCAGTAATAGCAGAAAAAAAGGGTCTAGAAAGTGTTGACTCAAAGGAGCTAAATGCAGCCATGTATCGTTTCCCCTATGCGCTATACCTCAAGTTGGTCTGTCACATAAAATCTCAATGAAACATAAGTTATCAGATGAATAAATGGTAAGAATACTTTTGCAGGACATGGTAGTAAACTTTATAAATGAGGCGTGTCATACCTTTGAAACCACAAAAAGAACAGGACTGCCAAGATAACTATCAGGACAACAGCAAGACCACACGCCAACAAAGAAAGATCAACATTAGAATCCGCATCTGCAAATAAATCCAGAGAGGGCATTAGTCAGCTGGGAGCCGTAACACAGAACCATGAAGTCTGATAATTGATGGGATAATAAAAAATGATTATTTTCAAATATAAAACACTAAATTCAACCACATCCTAAAATCAGAATAAGTGGATTTATTTATGTTACACAGTAAAGTTAGCATCTCTGTTTAGCTTGCAGAGATGTTAATTTGCAGAATATACCTTTCAAAATGGTAACAAAGCAAACAAAAACAGAAAGTAAATAAATAACTATAAATATACCAAAACATTTCTGTTCACTTTCCGGCGAGTTATCAATATCTTGAGCTTGAACTGAAAAGCAGTACCGACAGTTACGGTCCCGCTTCACCGTTTCCCATCGTCTTTCTTCTATTATAAACTCCTCCTGAGAAAATAATACAGTCATCAAGTCATTTTGATGAAATGTCCAAGGGAGACAACATTCTTGCAAAGGTTTATGAGATTAATTGGAAATCTAAACATATTTATTTAATCACAGCGGCTTAAACACTAGATGTAAGTTTAATTATTAGTTGTGCGATAGCTGCTGAGATATTTACAGTACACACACAACCTAGATTCAGAACCCAAAATCTGAGAAGTTTAAGTAACCTGGTATGGGTGTAAAACATAAATATTCTAATATGACAATATTTCTCACAATATTTCATTAGATGGAATTTAAAAATGCCCCTGGATTGATCTTAAATGTAAAAAACAAAATTCGGTAAATATCTATCGTAAGCCGGGGATACACTGAGTTCACAGCTCACGTTGCATGTTGTCACACTGTGCGGGCCGACGCTCTGATGCGATCTACCTGCTCACACTGTACGCCTAAAAACCACATTGGCCTCAGCTCCGCAGTGGGATGGCGCTACTCGGACTCATCTATCTGGAAGCCAAATGAGTAGAAGTGGAATATAAAGCTCGCTAGGGAGGGCAACTTTGTGTGATGAAAGCCCTAAAAAGAAAATTCAAGGACGTATTTGGAAAAAGACATGGCTGAGCTACTACGGTCTATGAAATTTACAGACAGAACTCTATTTGACTCGCAACCCCACCATGCTTGTTGGTGTTTGAATCCTTGTTTGCACATGCCCACTGAGCGATTTGCCCACGACGGCCGACTGAATTTCAAACATGTTTGATTTACCCCTGTACACTACAAGACGCTAACCTGACTCCGCCAGATGGATTTGCTCCGCATATCCATCTGGAAACCTTCCGTTGAAGTAATTTTGGGAAGGGGCGAAAATACTGGTTAGCTTATTGGCCTATGTTGGTGATAGACGGGCCAAATAAACCAATCAGATCAATGAAGCATATGACGTACTAACAGAGCAACGACGAAGAGGAGCCAAATGATAGATCAAACTCTTGCCGAAACCAGAAGAGCAAAAACATCTTTTCCTCTGAGAAAAGCCTCCAGAGCAGTGTTTTGCTCTTCTTTCAGTGAAGAAATACTCTGTAATTCCGATAAAACTTGCTCGATAGCCACGCTAACGCTAGTTTCATCGGCTGAAGCCGCCATGTTCTTTAGACTGAACTGTCGCGCTTCTCGTAACGTCACACCTCTACCCGCCTCAAAGCCAACGCTGATTGGACGTTCGTTTGGTGAACGGCTCCAAATTTTCTTCAAAGCTTCTTGAAAGCTCGCAAGATCAGGATGGTCTCACGAGGCTAACAAGACGCACGATCAGGCTGAAAGTTGGCCTGATCGAAAAATTCTCGCACGACGGGAGAATCGGCCCGAAAAGTGCAAAAAATCGTACAGCACAAGTTAATTGGTGAACGCATGTACGTATTGCCCTGTGCAAGGAAAAACGTTATTTGTCAAATATATCGGCCAAATATATCGTCCAGATGATGTCGGATCTATTTCTAATTCTTTCATTTAAAATTATTCAAGCTAAGTCACATTCTAGTTTCATAACATTGATTTTTACTGTCTTGCATCAGTTTCAAAATCAATCACAGGTCTGGACTTTCCCAGGTTCATCATAATAAAACGGGAAATTTATATCATTCAATTGGATTTCTGTCTGTGTGTTTAGGGTTGTTGTCCTGTTAGAGGGTCAGCCTTTGTCCATGCAAGAGCTTTTCAGTTTCTAACTGGTTTTCTTTAAAGTATGTTGTTATTAAACCTAAGCATTCGGTCCAGGGGCTCTTTTTCCTCATGTTTGCTAAGCTTAACAGGCTTTCTTGTATGTCATGTACTTCCTGGCTTTTCATTTTAGGCCACTTCTTGGTTTACAGCTAAGCATTGTTTTTCAGTTTTGGGATAATTCGAACAGAGCTTTGCCATTTTACTCTTGATTTGGTATATGGTATAAATTTAACCTGCTTTAAACATCTCTATTAACCTTTTACCTGACCTATTTGTCGTGTTGTTTGGCTTTCATTCTCTTTAATCTCTAGACTACATCAAGAAACATATAAGAACAAAAATTGATGGTGGCATGCAATGGATTTATATGCAGGTACCAGATGTATGTATGCCCAATTTTTCTAATTTTCAGTAGTTTAAAAAAAATAGGAGCTTTCACAAATTTTCACTACTTTTCCTAAGCATGTTACATAAAATCCCTATAAAATGTACTGAAATTTGTGGTTGCAAATGACATGTAACATTTTTTTTGTGTCACATTTTCATGAAAGCAACTTTAAATTTCCAAGGAAAAAGAACTAAACACTAAAAAAGTGCAAACAATTAGCAAAAAGAAAAACACACCCCTCAAAAAATAAAAAAAAGTTACAAATACTGTGTAGATTTCTTACCTTGACATCATTGCAATAGGAATTTAGTTTGAATGTATTTAATCCTAGCTCTCCTGGATCATTCCAGCTAATTTTGAACTCTGACTCAGTTTTTGTGACATTCACTTCAGGGGGAGGTGGTTTCACTGTGCAGACAAAAAGACATGAGATTCTTCAACAAGAGACTGAATGGAAAATACAGTAAGTGTGAACAGTGCTTTATTGTTAGAGATGCAAGAAAAAAACAGTATTGCTCACATTTTAAATGATCCTCAAGGAATGTATTCCGAACAAGTGTATTGTTCAGTGTTGCGTTGAACACAATCTCAATTACTGCATTACTGGACGCATTCAAATCACATCCAGACTTTACACCACCATTGTAGATGTATGATGTGCATTCTTGCATCTCTTCTATTCTGTCTTCATAATGAAACTCCATCCTGAGAAAGAGCAAGAGATAAGAAAAAGTGTATTACTTTTACACCTCAAAAAATGCTTTAAATAAAAGAAAACACAGTATATGAAAAAAAAAAATCTTAAAATGATCAGTTTTTCCAGATTTTTCATGTAGATCGCTATGTATATATATATATATATATATATATATATATATATATATATATATATATATATATATATATATATATATATATATATAACTGTATATAAACAAAGAGGAAGAGGCGTTAAGTCATACTAAAATTTTGTTTATGGAAGCAGTCCTGTCACGTGAATTGTATGATCAAGCAGAGGGCTCTGACATTTATTAGTATATATTAAGACCATCCTCTTGTTATTAATAAAACACCAGATTGGGGGAAACACATGTAAATCAGTTTATTTGTTGACAATGTTATATTGTATCTAAAAAAAAAAAAAAGAAGAAGAAACCCATGGCATCATTGTAAAATGTAACTTATTCACATGTTTTTAATAACTTTTAACTTTAGAAATTACACATTAATGTGATTAAAATATAAATGCCAGTAGGTGAATTCCTAAAGACAAAATAATCTGAAATAACAGCTTAAAAAGGTCATTAAATATGACAATCAGCACTAGACACAAATTTAAAAACAATCCACTGGACTTTGTTTTTTGTAACTTTGAAGACGTTTCGCTTCCCATCCAGGAAGCTTCTTCAATTCAAAGTGTTAAAAATAGTGTTGAGTTTAAGTTTTTTTACAGTGGACCAAACAGAGCCTTTTTTTGCCTTAGAAAAGATGCAAATTAAACCGGATGAACGGGTCCATCCCTTTGGAAAGGGGTTGGACCTAGTTAATCTTCACCAGCATTTCAAGGGCTTCCATTTTGAAAAGTCTATATGCAAATATCTTCAGAAAGACCAGAAAAGTAGTCATTCTCGCTTTTGCACATAATCAGTGAGGCAACTCTATTATTGATCATATCATTTACACAAACACAGACATGCATGTGGAAATAACCAAATAGAGTTATGGGTGATAGTTGCATCACATACCAATTTTTGGAGCCAGTGTCTTGCATGCAAGAGGTGTTTTTTTAAAGCCAGTGTGGTTTCACTGTAATGTTATTTCGATGAACCCATTTTAAATGAGTTGAAATACAAATATTTTTCTTTCCTTCCACCCTTTAAGGCTACCTGATGTTTCTCCTTCATAAATCCCCTCAAAAATACATTTAAAAAAAAACTCAGAGTTCAGGCCTTAGAAGAAAAGACACAGCTTTAAAGCTGTATCTACATATTTCAAGTCTCGACCCATATTTTATAACCAAAAACATTTGGGAAACCACAGACAATAAATCTGGGTAATTTAATTAGTGTTAGAAAGGCTAAGCCAGCCAGAAGCAATGAGTAAACAGCATGATAATGGAAATTTACAACTTCTTTATGGTGGTTCAGAGAATCTCAGAAGCTGACTCAGTGACACCACACAAATCACGTAGACTTCCACATAGCAAGGCTCATTGTCTCAATCCTTTCCTGCTGTGAAACATGATGGTGGCTGTGTTATTCTGAGTAGCAAAAAGAAAGTCAAACCGAGTTAAAGTAAGATGGATATTAGGAACTTAATTAGGAGAAAACATTAAATGAGTCCTTTATTTTATATCTAAATGAGAAAGATCAACAATCCTTCATTATTTGTTTTCTGATGATGGGTAGATTTATGTAAACGAAGAGTGACACTGGTTTGTTTTCAAAGTAAATCTGCCTATTTCCGTCCTTAGTATTGTTCCAGTAATTGTACTTTTTCCTGGAATTATGAGTCATGACTGTGAGCAGGGGTGGATTTAGGAAATTTGGGGCCCTAGGCAAAAACAGTCATGGGGCCCTCTAATTTGAGGAGAGAAAACATAAAACAGATGCATTATAGAGATATGGAAATTTTAATGGAATAGACATACACTATTTGTTCTAGGTTTTGTCCCTGTCTCTTCTTGTCCCTTTTCTTGGTGTTTTACTCTTTATGTTTTGTACTCAGCTGATTTTTCATACCATCTCAAAAGGAATAAAAGATTTTTGCTGATTACTAAGTTCACCTAGCTGCTGCCTTGCTGTTTCCAAAAAGGCAATGGTAAAGGTAAATAACACATTCCATCTTTTCACTTTTCATAAGCGTTCTGATGGCATTTTAGCAAAAGGATTTTTATCAAAAACTTAATTTGCACAAAAAAGGAATTGTGGTATTAACCACGCATGTAAACAGAGTTAACACCAGCTAGCATTGCCTAATAGTACAGTGAAAAGCTCACTTTAACACATGGACACTATTACCCCACTAGATGAACCAGCAACACAGCAGCCGGTTCAATGTGAGCTGCAGTCATTTACAGCCTCTGCCCTAAGTTGTGCCAGCGACACAGAGGCAGTCACTCTATTTACTCGCTATTACTCAGGCAATATAGTGAAGCACATTTAGGAGCATACTGTATACTGTAGGCTGCCATGAGCCTCTTATCGTACAGTCAACATTGAAAAAAAAAATCTTCATTGGGAGCTGGTGAACATTCTCAATCCTCCAGGTCATAGTCATACCAAAAAAGCTAAAAAAAAACAACACCAGACTTTTTTTCCCAAGTTTGAAGATGTTTCGTACGGAGCCCCTCTGATGACATGGTCAAAAAAAAATTTTAATTGTGGCCACGAAGTAGTATAACATGCGCACGAAATACTACTTCGTGGCCACGCAATAAGTATAACGTGCGCACGAAATACTACTTTGTGGCCACGCAATAAGTATAACGTGCGCACGAAATACTACTTCATGGCCACGCAATAAGTTTAACGTGCGCACAAAATACTACTTCGTGGCCACGCAATAAGTATAACGTGCGCACGAAATACTACTTCGTGGCCACGCAATAAGTTTAACGTGCACACGAAATACTACTTTGTGGCCACGCAATAAGTTTAACGTGCGCACGAAATAATCGAGCGCGCCTTAGACTTTAGAGAAGGCGCGCTCGATTTGCTTACCCAGTTGTCTAGGAATGATATTAATATTATTAATAAGTATTTCGTGCGCACGTTAAACTTATTGCGTGGCCACGAAGTAGTATTTCGTGTGCACGTTATACTTATTGCGTGGCCACGAAGTAGTATTTCGTGCGCACGTTATACTACTTCGTGGCCACAATTAAAAATTTTTTTTGACCATGTCATCAGAGGGGCTCCGTAGTTTCGCTTCAGGAGGCTTTTTCAATTGTCAGAAATAGCGTTGAGTTTGAGGCTTTATACAGTAGCTCTACACAGCCTTGTTGACTTTAGTTTTAGTTGACAAACAAGGCCTTCTCAGTCTACATAATTATTTAAATATATATATATATATATATATATATATATATATATATATATATATATATATATATATATATATATATATATATATATATATATATACACTATATTGCCAAAAGTATTTGCTCACCTGCCTTGACTCACATATGAGCTTAAGTGACATCCCGTTCCTAATCCATAGGGTTCAATATGACGTCGGTCCACCCTTTGCAGCTAGAACAGCTTCAACTCTTCTGGGAAGGCTGTCCACAAGGTTTAGGAGTGTGTTTATGGGAATTTTTGACCATTCTTCCAGAAGCGCATTTGTGAGGTCGCACACTGATGTTGGACGAGAAGGCCTGGCTCTCAGTCTCCGCTCTAATTCATCCCAAAGGTGTTCTATCGGGTTGAGGTCAGGACTCTGTGCAGGCCAGTCAAGTTCATCCACACCAGACTCTGTCATCCATGTCTTTATGGACCTTGCTTTGTGCACTGGTGCACAGTCATGTTGGAAGAGGAAGGGGCCAGCTCCAAACTGTTCCCACAAAGTTGGGAGCATGGAATTGTCCAAAATGTCTTGGTATGCTGAAGCATTCAGAGTTCCTTTCACTGGAACTAAGGGGCCAAGCCCAGCTCCTGAAAAACAACCTCACACCATAATCCCCCCTCCACCAAACTTTACACTTGGCACAATGCAGTCAGACAAGTACCGTTCTCCTGGCAACCGCCAAACCCAGACCCGTCCATCAGATTGCCAGATGGAGAAGCGCGATTCGTCACTCCAGAGAACGCGTCTCCACTGCTCTAGAGTCCAGTGGCGGCGTGCTTTACACCACCGCATCCGACGCTTTGCATTGCACTTGGTGATGTATGGCTTGGATGCAGCTGCTCGACCATGGAAACCCATTCCATGAAGCTCTCTGCGCACTGTTCTTGAGCTAATCTGAAGGCCACATGAAGTTTGGAGGTCTGTAGTGATTGACTCTGCAGAAAGTTGGCGACCTCTTCGCACTATGCGCGTCAGCATCCGCTGACCCCGCTCCGTCAGTTTACGTGGCCTACCACTTCGTGGCTGAGTTGCTGTCGTTCCCAAACACTTCCATTTTCTTATAATACAGCTGACAGTTGACTGTGGAATATTTAGGAGCGAGGAAATTTCACGACTGGATTTGTTGCACAGGTGGCATCCTATCACAGTTCCACGCTGGAATTCACTGAGCTCCTGAGAGCGACCCATTCTTTCACAAATGTTTGTAAAAACAGTCTGCATGCCTAGGTGCTTGAATTTATACACCTGTGGCCATGGAAGTGATTGGAACACCTGATTCCAATAATTTGGATGGGTGAGCAAATACTTTTGGCAATATAGTGTATATATATACTTCAGCAACCACACTTGGAGTTCCTCAAGGTTCCCTCTAAGAACCGGTCTAATTTTCTTTTTTTTATTGAATTTAACAGCTCTCATCTAGTAATATAAAAGCTGCTTAAAGCGCTTTATATCAGAGCCACTTTCACCTAATCACACATGAACATGGACACATTACACACAGATAGGGAGGCCGTTAGGCTACTTTTGATAACTTGTCTTGCCTGGGGATATACTGCCATGTCTAAACTAAAGAACTAAAGTGTGTACTAAAGTACACACATTTGTTACTTAAGTAGAAGTATAGATACTGC